TTTTTTTTTTTGCTAGTCTTTCCCATCTCATTATTTGTCATTATAACTCACTATTTCTCATAGTAAGAAGCTGGGATCATCCCTGACACTTCTTTTCATCCAGGACAACCAAGTCACCCTCATATTTTATCAGTTTCACTCCTAAATTCATCTTCACATTTTTCGCTACTACCTTAAGCCAAGCCACCATTACTGTCTTGGGGGCTGCCATGTTAATGTCTGTCTTTATCCAGATTTTCCCAAGATAAGGCCATTTTCTGCACAATATTATTCAAAAATCTTCTATAGCTTTGTATTTTTTTCTTAGGAAAAGGCCTCTAAAAATTAACAAGACCTGTGAAGTCTGGCTGTCCCTCACCTCTCCAGCCCCACCCCTGCAGGATCCTCTTCCGTGCACTTGGCATCCTGCACATTTGCCTCCTGATTCTCAGCAGGCTGCACTGAGCTTTCAGACCTTTCCTAGAGTAGTTCTTTCAGTCCTGAAAGCTCTTTCTAGGCTTCTCTTTTCCCCTGGCTAACATCCTCGGTAAATGACAGCCTTCAGGCAAGCCTTTCCTAATTCCTCCCACCAAAGTTTCAGCGTGATTATAATTAGTTAGCTACTTAAATGACTTGGTTAATGTCTGATTTGCGACTTAGGTGATAAGTTCTTTGAAGCCAGAGAACATACTTCTGTTGTTCATCTGGGGACATCCCAGAACTTGGGGTATTTCCTAATTTATAGCTGATGCTTGATAGGTAATTATTCAATCATGATTAAATATTATATAAGAGAAAGGTGTCTTCAAGGAGGTATTCAGAAATGGACATTCTCAGTCATTATTATGAAAGCATAATTTGATGCAAACCTTATGAAAATCAGTTACACATTGTTTTTCAAAATCTTTAAATGTTCTATTTCTTTGATTCTGTAATTAAAATCTGGGAATCTATCCAAGGGAAATACTCAGATACACACATAATTAGTGTACAGTATGTTTATCTGAGCTTTATTCACAGTATTAAAAAGTTGGAAATCCTCAGACATTCAATACATAGAGATTAGATTAAATAATATTTAGGAAGATTTATTGGCTTAAGTTATCAAAACATTTTCATAGAATTATGACATAAAAACCTTCAGTGACTGTTCATGTAAATGTTTTTTTGAATGAGGCATTCAGTTATCTGGAAGGAAGAAGAAAGAACCTGAAGAAGGAAACCTTAATTCATTTTTTTTAATGATAATCATGACATCTCACTTCCATGGCATGAATCTTATTTAAATAACACAGATCAGGTCAAAAAAATGTTGATAAACCAAGTTATTCTGCAAAATTCCATGCAAAACAGTTTATGGGTGAGAATTAGCATGTATCTTCCATTCTTATACACAATAAGTCACAAGCTAGTAATGTTAAAAGGCCCTGAGTTCTGATTTTAGAACCATCTCATTATCATTGAATTGTTTTGTAGTGAATGTAACCCTGTCATTTTGATCTGTTAGTTAACATGATTTTGGGAGATCCTTCTTTAATCACACCCTTTCCTGGGTGGCATAGGAGACACAGAGTATGTATAAGATGCAGTGCCAGCCCTCACATTGTTCATAGGATCATTGTATAGACAACACAGACACATATAGCCTTAAAATAATAATATGGTAAAGAGGAAATGATTAAGGGGCCAAATGAGGTTACAGACAAGAAGTGTCCAAAGGAGACTGGAGGAGGCAAAGATGAGTGTGACCGTGTATGGTTGTGATCAGTTTCAGGACAGAAGGAGAAACTGTGGTGGCATTCGCTGTGATTGCAGACTTTCCCAAAGAGGAGATGCCTCCCGTTTTACATCAGGGAGTGCTGACCTGTTCGTTTAGAAATGAATGAAATGCTTTTCACAAAATCATGCCAAGTGGATTGTGATTAATGATGCAGACGTTAATCTCATAATATTTTTAACCTCTTTATAGCTCTCCGAGACACTGGAAAACAGTCTATTAATAGTGACTGGAAGATTGAACACTCTGGAACATTCAATTTAGCGGGAACTACTGTCCATTATGTAAGACGAGGCCTCTGGGAGAAGATCTCCGCCAAAGGTCCTACTACGTCGCCTTTACACCTCCTGGTATGAGGGATCAAATCAATAACATTGCATAATCAACTTCCTATGACAAAGGATGTTCCCGTCACACCTTCTCTGATCTTTTCTCCAAATCTGAGTTGTCAAGTAGACATTTAAAATTATTTAAGAAGTGGGTTTTAGGGTGTTTTTAATGTGTTTGGAATCAAGGTACATAAGCATGGAAATTATTACAAGAAGAACAAGATGTTTTAGTGAATTAGCAGACTCCCAGTAGAGGTGAATTAGCAGGCGATAAGGAACCTCTTTCCCTAAAAGCATATGTTTACTAACCAGAGTGGAAGTCTGTAAAGAGGGTGCTGTAATATGGCAAATCACAGCGTTTCATACATCCATGAAATGGGCGTTGTCTGCATCTGGATAAAATGCCTTTGACAAAATGCTGTTGATCGTTGGGGAAAACACTTGGTAAATATCTAACAGTGCTTCCTTTACACTTAACCTAGTAGGTGTGTGCTTACTAGGTTCATTGATTCCCGTAGAGAATTAGGAAAGCTTGAATGTTTGGGATAAGTTTCTTTACCATGAAGCAGAAGACTAGGTCTGAGTTTGGAGTGAAGAGATCAGGATGCTGGTGGCAGGTTCACATGCCCTTTTTGACCTTGATCATTGCAGTCAGTGCTAAGGGCTCAGGAGCCAGAGGACTGATTGCACGCTGCTGGTGTGTTTAATTCTAGGGGCAACGTCTAAAAGTCACATACGTCACCACTTTGAGTCCGCACATAAAACAACTCTAAAACACAGCCAACTGACTGTTTATGCAGAGTGTGGTCTGCCCCATGATTTAGTATCTCCACACAATTTTAGTTGGTCTTGGAGCCAGAGGTTCAATCTCATATTGGCCCATTCGCTTTTCCTGCTTTATGTGCCTGCAGATCCCCAAGGGTCCTGTTGAAAGGCACGTTCGGCTTCCTTTGGTCTGGGTAGGAACCTGGGGTCTTCAGCTCTAACCAGCTCCCAGGTGATGCCTCTCCTGCTGGTCAAGTGACCACATTTCAAATAAGAATGTTTTCTAGAGCTGCAATCCATCGGCTTTACCAGTAGGAGTGCATAAAGGGAGCGAGGTAAATTGCAACAGGGGCCTTCTGTTCCAAATCCTAGTAATAATAACACACATCGTTTATCGAGCACTGAGCATCAGACCCTGGGCAAAAGTGCTTTACAAAGTTCACTATAGCATTTAATCCTCAAAATAACCCTGTGTGATAGGTATTATTATTACTCCCTTTTACAGATTAGAAAAAACTAAGTATGTAAAAGGTTAAGTAACATGCACAGTGCCTCCCAGTAAATTGTTTGGCTTTGAATAAACTGGTGTTAATCAGTCTTCTGTGTGCCACCTTGCCTGATGCAAAGCTTAAATCTAAGTTCTTTGTACCAGGCAACCTTGGATCATAAGTCTGCATGTACTTTAAATAATTATTTTGTTCATCTCCCCATAGTTCCTTTGGATCCTTTTATTTAATTTGAGTTGGAAACTCTACTCTCTGCCCTCTGCCATCAGGGGAGCGAGAGAGAAATGACTAAACAAACATTGTATGACCAATATCTGGCTCTTTCCATGATTGGGTCATTTAGAATAACAGCATTATCAACAACAAAGTATGTTTAATGATTAGGTTACAGAAAAGCCCATCAGGTTGCCTCCCTTACATGAATGTAACCTCCGTTTTTTATGGCCCAAGACCAAGGCTCTTTTACTGAGCCTTTAATTCAAAATCTTCAAACAGTACGTGTGAGACCTCAGTGTCAGGCAAAGGGAGTTTCCTTGCTGCAGAATCCTTAATCTGACTGGTAATTACCAAGGTTTTTCCTGGAAGCGTGAGACATAATTAAAGTCAGTGAACTATGTCTAAAAGAAGGCATCTGTGTGACCTGGATTTATTCAGTAATCCAAGGGAAACTGCACTTCTAAGATACTTTTCTTTAATGACTATTACAGATTGAAAGCCGGTACTGACTTTTGAAAGGCAATACTTTCTGCTGCCATGCTGCAGTATGTGCCCCTCAGCTGTAACACGGTCACACTTTCCTTCTTGCAAGGAATACTGCCAAATTCAGATGGTTTAAGAAAGAGCTAATGATTTTGTAGCCAGTGTCTTTATTTTAAATGGCATTAGATATTCAAGGGCACCCTGAAGTTCTATCAATGACAAGGTAGATTTTTAAGAAAAAATAGACACACTTTCGTTTAATTAAGTATGTTGGCAAATGACTGCTATTTATATGTTCACATCAGCATTTAAAAAAATCATGTGATAGTCTGGTGATGTCCATAAACTTACCAAAAAGAGGTAAGTCAATCTCTCTCTCTTTTTTAACTCATTTAACTGAAAGTCACTGGCAACAGGAAGTGGGATAAAGCCAAAATAAGCGCTGTGATGTACTGAGAACTAGTACCCAGTAGGTTATGCACATGTGAACTTCAAAAGTATTATTTTTATTGATACTATGGTTGATTTACGATATCATCATACTAGTTCCCCAATCTGCCTATTAAATATATCTTAGTATTTCTGTTGATGTATTGAGGCAGAATCTTAACAAAAAGAAGTAAAGAAAATTACCTTGGGCTTACTTAAATTTTTTTCCAGTAAGTGTTAACTCTGAATTACCTGTCATTACAGCTGTCTTGTTACGTTACAGGTTAAATATCAAAGTTCTCTAAGAATTTAACATAACCTAAAATTTAGATGTATAGTTTTTAAAACATATCACCTCCTGTTATGTAGTAGATTGCTTCCGCGGAACCTCAGATCCATAGAAGGGATACATTCCACGGGCTTGTTTGACATACTTTGTGAAAATGTGTTTATGAAGAAACACATAGTCTCACTCATTCTTCTATTTAAAGTGAATATATTTCAGGTATTTTTCTTTCATGTAAAACATGTATGGTTGCTCCATGATGCAGTTCTAAGCTTGGCCCTGGCTACCCTGGGAGCATGAGACAGACACAATTCCTGCTAATGGCTGAGTCCACTGGAGCCCAGGGTTCCGTCATTCTCATACAGCTGTCATGGTTTCCTGCACTGTTTACATGTGTGTCCATAACTGTACCATTATTAAGTTAATATGCATTAAAAAGTTCTCTTTAACGTAAATTTCTTTTCTAAGGAAGTGATCTTTATTATAAATGGAAAATTAGCGACCTTGCCAGAGTTAGAGTTTAACTGTAAGCATACGTGGAACAAAATTCTTGCCCTCCAGTTGGCTTAGAAGTTCTCTACCCTTATGGAGTAATACGATTCCCAGTCTTTCACCTTCTTCCTCTGTTGACACAGGGACTTGCTGTCCATCTCTTTTGTGTGTGAGCGGTAAGGCTACATTTGATACTAGGTTGTGGGCTATATCTTGAGGGCACATGGCCCTATGCCCCCTACTAAAGTCATCTCATATACGTGCCGTGCTTTGGGAGACTGTCCAGTCTGTTGACTTAGGAGAAAATGATCTGGGAACTCTGATCTCATTCATGTGGACTTTTTTTTTTTTCATACTATCTTTAGCTCAAAGGTAAGTGTATATATAATTCCAGTGTTTTCAGAAGTAGGACAAATTTCAGCATTTAAGCAAATGTATTAATGGTGCATGCACACCGTGCAAAAAGCGTTCTTAAGTATCAATGCCCGTAGTTGTATGCTTCACATTGAATACATTCTACTTTGATCTGTATGCCTTGATCACGTCTATACATCATATTACAGGTGCTGCTGTTTCAAGACCAGAGTTACGGTCTTCACTATGAATACACTATCCCGTCAGACCCTCTTCCAGAGAATCAGAGCTCGAAAGCACCTGAGCCCCTTTTCATGTGGACACACACGGGCTGGGAAGACTGTGATGCCACGTGTGGAGGAGGTGAAGGATTTTTCAATGTGTATCTTTTCCATGACAGCTGTTTTCTGACTAACCGTTGATAATTAAGACAGATCCACAAGCCCTTATCTGAAATTTCAAGCACCATAGAGGATTGGAAACTGAAAGTCTTTTGCAACACATTTAGGGGCTAAATGCCTGAACTATTTTATGGCAAAATCTGACATGAATTGAAGACAGACTCTTTAGAGTTGTTACATATGTCACTCAATATGATTTCCCATTGTATTGCTTTGCGTAAATATAAACACTTATGGGGGCTGCCCTAGACCCCATACAGGTTGTTATGTCACATACAGACACTTTTATATTTACTTGGGACACTATACCATTTATAGAGTTCAGAGAGATGAGAAGGAACCAACAAAGTATATTAAAATAAATAGCCAAGAACATTGGAGGGAAAACATGCAGATGAGAATGCTTCCCTGTAGGGCAAATGAGAAAGTATTACAAGGAAGAGAGATTAATTGGCTATATCAAAAGCTGCAAATAAGACAAAAGTAATGCAGACTGAAATTGACTATTATATTTACATATGTTTATTGTATTTTTAAATATATTATATTTATTATATGTGGAATGTAGAGGTCAGTGATGACTCTGTCAAAATTAATTTTACTGATTTGACTCAAAAGACTAAAATGGAGTAGATTTAAGACAAAATAGCATGTTATGCATTGGACAAAGAACCCAAGATAACTTAGGAAATTTTGCTGAAAGAAGAAAGCAGAGAAATGTGGCATTAGCTGGAGGAGAATATAAATCAAAGAGTTTGTTGTTTTCAGTGGGGGAAATTACACGTGACTCTGCCATTATGTGTTTTCTGGACTGGAGCAGGAAACTAGCGATGTGAAAGAGAGCAAAAAATTTCTGGAGCGACATCCTTATGTTGACGCAGTGGGTAGAATGGAGTAGTTGGCTTTAGACAGAAATATGGGTAGCCCATCACTTGTAATGGGAGAAAAGAGTATTTGTGGGGACAGAAGCAGGTTGCAGGATGGTACTCTTTTGGTTGCACTTTTTTTTTTTTAATCAGTAAAGGCTGTCTTGGTGAGACTGAAGGTGGAAAAGGAGATACTGGAATTTTGAAAAGAGAGGAGATGTGAAGTGGTCATCTAAGAGAGTGAGCATGAATGAAATGGGTTCATGTGCTTTGACTATAATGGTAGCACTAATGGTCCATTCGAAGTTACTGGTCTTGAATGTAGCGTGACACTCATCGTAATGGTATGTCACCCTCCAGCTCTGTGCAACGTACAAGTGGACGTGTGGTATAAGTTTCAGAATTGCCATTTGAGTATAATAAAATAAAAGGGGAATTAAATTGATCTGAAGTTGTATATAAGGAGTTGGAAATGGCCATGGAATTTTGTCGTGTAAGGAAGAAAGTAAATATGAAGGGCTTGAAAGAAAAGTGAAGCGGTGGCAGCACTGTTGGATTTTAGGGCCTGTTGGGGCTAGAGAGCTTTTAGATTCAGGTAATTAAGGGAGAGGGCTGGAAACCCAGGAGATGGTGATAGCAAATAGAGCTGAGATTATTGGTGATCACAAGACCAGGGGAGTTAGTGGCTTTAAGTGAAGTGAAAGGAGAGATCTTTGGAAAGAGAAGAGGGACCAGAACTGAGAGGCCTCATTGTTGGAAGAATCATTCACATGGATAGTAATTACCAAAAAAGTGTTTGGAGCGGTATTAGAATGTATAGCAGTAACCCAGGAGCTAAAATCCTAGATTGAAAGGGGGAGCACCTGGGGGCTGGTGTTTGGCTACAGCAAGAAGGGGGCTGCACTGCATGGTCTGCCCCACAGCTGTAGGTTTAGGAAGAAGGAAGGGAAAATGGTCTCATGGTGACACCCAGGCTGCCTCTAGGTCCCCAGATGTGGGGTGTAAGCAAGAAAATGGCCATCCAACTGGAGGCTGTGGAGACAGCAAGACACAGTGTCCTCAAGAGAGAGAAGAAAAGGTGCCGGGACCATCCAGAGGTTCAGAGGCTGGGGCGGAGGCTGGGGAGGAGCAGCCGTGACCAGGGCACCTGTGGCTCTGGGACTGTCACCTGGCTCCTGGAGCACATGACCGTCTGGCACAGCCAGAGCAAAGGCAACATGGCAGACACAGGGGAGGGGGGTGATTCTACAGACGTACTTTTCTCCCAGGGACACTGTGTACTTACAACAAAAGGATTTCAGGTCACTCTCACAGTTGAAAAACTTGTATCAATCATCCCTGGCATAATGAAAGTTTCATTGGCCATGTTTCTCCCAGGGCCCCGGTATCGGCATGTAACTTGGGATCCCATACCATCCTGTCCTCTCCTGCTGATGCTCCCGGATGCACCCAGTTCCTCTTCCTCTGCCTCCCTCGTTCTCTACTGACTCCAGGGCCCATTTCCCCAGAGGGGTTCTGCCTCACATCTCTTATCCATAAAAAACAAAAACACACATAGAAACAAACAGATTTGAAATGAAAATCCTCAGGGTTAGAATGTTCTTCTTTAATATAACTCAGCCAAGAATGACCAGCTGCCGTCCTGTGGTGGGATGTAAGGAAATGCAGTGATGAAAAGGTTGATGGTTTCTGTTACAGCGCTGAAAGGCAGTCATTAAAATCTGTTTACATTTGAGATGCTAGACAGGAAAACGTTTACCCAGTGAATATTATTATCCTCATTTTTTTAATTTCTTCTGTGACTGTGGTCTAATAAAACTTCAAGAGTAAACATACAGAACTTGTCGGTCTTCAATTTGAACGAGGAAATTTTTAGCATTAAAATTTTTTTCTGAAATCACATTAATTACAAACTCGAATACGTTTTGTCAATCACCAGACCTTAAAAAACAGGGGTTCAGTATAAATTATTTTACTTTCAAGTTCAGAAGGGCTTTCAGATATTCTTAAGCATAACTTCGTCATTATTATTAACGTAAGAAAATTGAAATGCTTAGAGATTAAGAGACTTCCCAAGGTCACACACCCAGTCGGGGTGGAGCCAAGATTAGAATCCAGGGCTCCTGAGTTCAAGTCTTATTTCCTCCGGATCGTGTACGTCCTTCAAGAGCAGCTCAGGGCTTTCGTGTTATTTCTTTCCACAAAATACAGCATGCCCCTTAGAGACTTATATAGGTTTTCTTTGGATTCAGAGAGATATTTTATTTAATCTGTTAAATGAGAATTTAGATGCGTTCTTATTTTTATTTCAAATGGCTGATTTTATAAAATAGTCCTAAATATAAGCAACGTCTCTATGATTTGCATTTGAATAGACCTTCTCGCTCCAATCTGTTCCATTCTGTTTAGTCAACAGTTTTCAATTATCTCTGACTATGTTAATAGGACATATATTCATTTCAATGCCAAAATATTTCTGGGCATTTGGATATTATTTTCCTTTGCAGTTCATAAATAAAGTGGATGGACAGAGTTTCAAGAATCGCATCATTTCTGACCCTGTTTTGTCGATTTTATAGCCAGAAAGAGCTTTGTAATCTTTCAGCATATTCATGAATTAAATGAGAGTAAGTTCAAAGCACAGAACATTGGAAACAGACTCGTGCAGAATTTATCTTCAGCAGGAAAGAGGAATAATAGCACTGTTCTACCCACTTGACAAGAATATACTAAGCAATAGCAAATAAAATATCATAGGAAAGTATAAAATTTCAGTGTTGGACATAAATTATTTTTGAGTTCAGTTGTAAGACATTACATTGCAGTAGTAAGTGGGCAAAAGACATTTTAAAAAGGTACCTAGTGTCATGTAGCTAAATTTTTATTATCATAATCTTTTACATCAGTATTTCAAACTAAGTTTTCTATTAATTTATTTCTATTAATTTATTAATACCAATTATTATAAACTATGTAAAGCCTAAGATATAAAAATATCTTCTTTTAAGAGAAATATTATTTTTAAATATCCAACAGTGCTGGTGATCTCAAGTAAAATTTCCAACAGTTTAACATATGTACTCTTTTCATCACAATCTGGTCACATTTGAATCATAGTTCTAGAAAAATTTGAATGGATATATCATTTTTCACGTTAGCATTGGCCATTGATACTACTCCTTTTATTTTCAAACATCTTAAAATGTATTTGTGAAATAATTGTTTACTTTGCATTGGTGTTCTAAAATATCTAAAAATCTTTGAAGGAATGTTATAAATTGGTTTTGACACCTCAAAAGTGTGAGTCATTGAATATAGGGGGATTTTTGACATATAAGACTATTAGAAATGATCTTGGTCTTCAGAGGCATCAGTGTGTCATTGACACCTTAGTATCTGCAGGGTTCATGTGGAATCAAAATTCCGCATACTATATGCAGTAACCACATTACTCTAGAACGTAACTTTTATCTAGTAGATGAAATGATGAAATAAAACCTAGAATGAGGGCCCCAAAATTTAATAACCTGTTTTGAAATAAATGAAGAGTTAAACATGCTTTTATGAAATCTAAATAGATATGGTTTGAAGGGGAAAAAATAAGTCAACATTCCACATTCTTCATATTATTCCACATCTTGCCAGCTTACAGCTCTCATGCTGTCAGCCTGGTGCCGTGATACCCTCTCGGCATGGCTTTCCTTATCCATGACCAGATTCTCTGGAGGCCTCCAAGCCCCTGGGTCTCAGTATATGGATGCCTGTGTCTCACTAAGGGCGCCATTTGTTTCTGTTTTTCCATTTTAAAGGCACTTGGCGTGTACAAAAATAAATGTTGTTAGCCAAAGAAAATGCGCCAGAATTTATTTTTTCTCTTCTCTGCATTATTTTGTTTCAGTGATAGTTAATACAATTTTGTATTGTACTTTCTTTACTTAAATTAATAGGAGCATTTTTATATTAATGTAAACTCTTCATAAACTTGAATTTTAACACATAAATGATAATCCATGTACTGCATTTGCCATGTATAGTTATTCCCCATAATTAATCGTTTAGTTTGCAGATTTTTTTTACCATCTTAGGAAGCACAGTGTTGAGATGAACCTCTTAGTACAGAAAGTACTTGGGCTTCAATTACATGTTTATGTTTCATTCATTGATTCCTTTACCAATACTGATTGTGCTCTCACTTTTGCTGGATGATCCAAAGACGCATGTTTTCCGTTTTTAGAGAATTTACTGTCCATGTAGGAGGGGTTAGATAATAATAAAAACACTATACAGAGTGATAGGGGAGCTGGAGAAAGCCTTCCAGGAAAAAGCATAGGTGCAAAGGCACTGAGGTTAGCGAAAATGTTTATTAGGGTGCCAAATAAGAGGATCAGGCTGTGGGAAATTATTTGACCAAAAAAGTAGGAAGAAGCTACTTCATGAAGGTCCTTGAGTGTTGTGCTAACACTCAGGTTACATTTAACTTGAAAGTTATGGGGTCCCATTAAAATATTTGTGTATGTGGAAATGACAAGATCAAACTGGATTCTTTACTGGATGTTATGAATAATATCAAATACAATTTTTTCATTAAAATAAAAAATGAAATAGTCATTTTAATATTAAGCCCAAACCCTGAGAGAAAAATATTTTCTAGGAATGTAAATGATGGCTACAAAGTAACTGACATGACATGACTTTAGAAGTTGTTCAAGTGAAAAAATGATGCTTAAAAAATAACCAGCATTTTACATATCTCTAAGAAGTTCTTGGAGATAAGACCTTCTTCCTCATTAAAATATTTTTGCTTGGGATTCAATTACTTGCTGGTCATTGTTAGTTCAATAGAAAATAAATAAAAATTTAAAAAGAAAAATATAAAGACAAATGAATACATATAGTCTTTTTCTTACAGAATTCCACAATTTTAGTGAACAGCTTGGAGTGTCCTCACCTTTCAGTGGGTGAATTGTTGAACAAATTGTGATCTGTGCAGAGCAGGAATTACTAGCTGACAATAAAAAGAAACAGACGATTGATACAACCTTGAAGATGAACCTCCAGGGGGATTATGCTCAGTGAAAAAAAGTCAGTCCCTAAAAGTTAACACTGTGTAATTCCATTTTCAAAACATTCTTGAAATGGAAACATTATAGGAATGGAGAACAGGTTAGTAGTTGCCAGAGCTGGCTGACTGGTGGATGGGAGGGGGAAACGGGTGTGACTATAAAAGGGCACCTGGA